GAGTACTGGAATGTCTTTTCCCTGATAATCCCTCAAGGAGATCTGGCACTTCTGGAGCTGGTTTCTGGATAGTCTGGGCTGGATTTTCTTGAGGGTGCTCCAAGAGATGATTGAGAGCGCTGACCCCGTGTCAACCTCCATACAACAAGGTTTACCTTCTAATAAAATGGAGAGTGTTATTTTACTAATAGAGTGACAGGTGTGGTTAGCATGGTAGCAAGTGTGACAATTTAGTACTTGCCTTTGGGGCCCAGAATGGGAAAAGGAAGGAACCTTTTGTGCTGAATTGTGCGCGGCCTGGCAGACTCTAGCGATGTGGCCTTTTTTGTGACAATGGTTACAGATGGCACCCTTGAATTTGCACGTAGCTCTCGAGTGAGGACCGCCACAGGATAGGCACAGGATGATGTGTTTGGGTGCGCTGTTGGTTTCTTGCCTGGCTCCTGCCTGTGGTTGTTTGGCATGGGTGAGGCAGTGGATGTCTGTTTGATCGTTAGGGTCGTCTTCGTTGACTACCTCTTCTGAATGAATGGTGGCGCAGCTTTGTTTGGGAACGGGACCTTGAATTTCAGTGGCTGACTGGGTTGCCAGCTCTGCTGCCAAGGCTTCCTCGACGGCCTGGGAAAGGTTGAGGTCCTTCCTGGCGAGTAGTCACCTTTGGAGGTGAAGGTCTTTGACCCCGCAGACGAGCTGGTCGAGGAGCATGTCATCAAGATAGTTCCCGAACCCGCAGTGGAGGGCTGCAGTCCTCAAGGCGGCCATATATTGGTTGACGGTTTCCTTTTCCGCTTGCTTCCTCATCCGGAAGGTGAAACGCCTCGCGATTTGTGATGGTCTGGGGGAGTAATGATTGGTGAGAATCTAGCAATTCTGCCCAGGGGACATTCTTTAACTCACGTGGCGCGACGAGTGCTGTGGCAGTATCAAAAACGATGGCTCCGCAATAACTGAGGAAGAATGACTTTTTTCTGTGCTCCCCAGCATCAGCCAGACCAATAGCGTCGATGTAGTGGTTAAAACGATTCTTGTATGACTCCCACTTTTCTTCTTCCGGCTTGAACGGTGGGAAGGCTGGGTTGGAGTTCATGATGCGGACTCCTGCGCGTTATGCTGTTGAGAAATCTCTCTGGGACAACAAAATGGCACCTTGTGCTCTTGTCAGGCTAGTGACTACAGCTCTGGAGAGGCTCCACAGAACCTCTCTGCTCTCTCTCTGGGCTACAATTGTGGCTAAGCTGCAACGGCTGTTGGCAGCGTTTTGAATTTCGCGCTCCTGGAGAGCGTAGGCGGTGATGGCTTGCCGCCTCTGATAGCGCTTTGAATTTCACGCCTGCGTAAGTGTCAGTGACTCGGAATAACAGCACCGCGCTGTATTCCGGCAAGAAATCCAAACGACAGCCGTTTGAATTTCGCGCTCTTTTGTGTTGAGCGGCTGCGGCTCGCAGCGCTTCACTTTCCCCTGTAGCTTGCTAACAAGCGGCTACAGACGCTTATTACTTTCGCTCTTGCTGACCGAGCTCTCCGGCGGCGCGGCTGCGGCTCAGCGGTTTTAGTGATTTCAGCTGTTGCGAATTGCCTCTGGTAGCCATCCCATCCTCGTCGCCAGTGTTGTAGTTGAGCAATGAGAGGCTAAACCAGGGCTGGATGCAACAAGACTTTATTGTAACAATAAAGGACTGAACGTGTTAGCCCTGCCTGGAGCAGGCTCACAGTGATCAGCGGCTGGCCGGACCCTGCAGCTGGCTTTTATAGCCGGCCGTCGAGGGAGGCCAGCCAATGAGGGGCAGCAAACACCCCCGCAGCATGAACGGACCTGGGTGGGGACTTTGGCAAGTTCCAGGGACATAACACCAACTATCCTGGATATTCTCTAAAACTTAGGAGAATGAGAAGAAAAGGGGAAGAAAAATAGGTATACTCTCTGAAGTCAGCCCTGACCTTGAACTGAAACTCAAGAACATGTTGTATTCAAAGAGGTAGTAAATAAATAATTTTGCTAGAGTGTATTGATGTCATTTAGACCATTGCCTTCCTTTTGTTTCGTATTTCTATTTTTCCAATAACCAAGGGAAATTTGGCCTTGCTGGTCTAATCAGGGAATTTTTCATTAAACCCATATCCAAAACTGCACAGTTCTATAGCGGAAACTATACCTTGTGATTTAGAATTGGGACAAGGTTTTTTATGTTCTGTATTTGAGCCTTTCATCGGTTCTTATTTCTTTTTCAGTCACTCCGTTGCTTTGTGGTTTGAATTTCCAATTCACCACCCAGAGTCATTTGTTTCCTGATTAGGTACCTGATCCTAATCCTTCCTCCCTGCTGCAGTTTGTTTTCATTGTAGAATATTTTTCTTATCTATTAATCATCCTAAAAATCTTAGCATTCTTTATCAATTAGAATTTATCTCCTGATCTGAAAATTAAAGCAATTGCTTCTTACAATGTGTGCCATTTGATTACAGTTGGCATATGGCACAGGAATATATTTAAAAGCTTGGTTATCATTAAAAGTCACCCTAAATTATAAACAACATAAAATCTTAAGACTTGCTTTAACGGTCTGCTATTTAGAGTTTTTGTTGAGGTAAGCTATCATAGGGCTGGTCCAATAATGACCAAGGGGGAGGGGAGGGAGAGAGGCGGGGGAAAAATCATCTGTAACATTAATCCAGTTAGATTGTTCTTGCCAAATGGAATTATCATGCATCTAACATCCTAGAATGGTTATGCATATTTGAAAAGGGAACACATTTTCAAATAAAATCTCTAGAGAAGGGTCATGATGTTCATATTTATGCCTTCTGGATTTTCTGGCTCAAGGTGCCACCTGTATTTTTATATCTGGCAGAATGAAAATATTTGCTCATTTAAGTATATCAGAAATATAACCCGACTTTAAGTATACATTATAGAATAAAAATACAAAATATGCTCCCTTCTAGTGATTTCCATCATAGAACACAATCTCAGAATTGCTATTCTGATCTTCTGATTCACCCCTCCCACTTTTTTTCTCTCTTTTCTTACCTAGATCCTCAATGCAGTGGTACTGCTGATTATATTGAGCGCCTTGACAGATCCTGGCCAGTATCACTTAGCGGGTACTGAATTAAGCAATGACTTTGAATTTATGGATGATGCCAGTAAGTATATATCATTTCATTAGTAATTTACAATCTGGCTCCTGTTAAACTGGTATTGTGCCAGGGCAGCACTTTCACAACTGGCATAATATTACTGTGTGTATATATATGGGGGCTGAACCTTCTCTGAAAGTTCTTGAGACAATACTATTAAAGATGATATTTATACAGAAGACTTTAATTAAAACAGGCTGCCTTGCCTGTTGAGATTCAGCTTGGAAAAGGTTGGGCTCCCCCTAAAAAATAGAAGACCAGTAGATGGCAGCAAAGAAATAGAGAAAAATCTAATAGTTGGCTGACATCTAATGGTGTCCAACATTTTTGCAACACCAAAAAAGAATAGGTAATATTTATTTAGCACAGGGGTCCCTAAACTTTAAGATTTGGGGACTTCAACTCCCAGAATTGTCCAGCCAGCTATGAAGTACACAAGAATTATGGGGGTTGAAGTCCACAAGTCTTAAAGTTGCCAAGTTTGGAGACCTCTGATTTAGCATATGGCATGCAATATCAGGGAAATCTACAAATGCTAGGTATAAGGCAGTCCTGACAGCGAAAATTGCTAGTTCATTCTGTTCGATACTTGCATGCCTATCTGTGGTACATTATACAGGGCAAACTCAACTTTGACCAGCTGACTAGTGGCACTCAGGTTGCTAGCTCTTTCAGGCCCCTCCGCCAGTTTTACCTCACCCTGTGTTTTGTTGACTTGCATCTGGCTAGGTCCAGCACCATCTTCTGCTCTCCACACATACAAATGCAGTTAGTCACTGAAGTGGTACCCATTTATCTATTTGCAATATTGCATGTTTTTGAACTGCTGGGTGGGCAGGATCGAGCGACAGGAGCTCACTCCATCTTATAGTGCAAAGCTCGAACCACCTGAGTGCAGACCATTTCTGTTCTGCAGTTTCAGCATCATTAAACCACTGAGCCACAGTGTCCCCACATAAAGATAGGCTGGGGCCTGGGGGTTGGGGGTCCCTGTCTTACTGCACCCAAAAAATGTTGGAAGTCACTGCTTTTTGTTTCTTTTTTATTCCCCCCCACCTTCATTCACTTTTTTCCAACTTCCAACTCAATTGTTCTATATTCTATATTCTATGTTCTATTCCCTTTATTATCTTTCCTTTCCCATTTTTTCACAATCTTTATTTCTATTTTATATTAATAAAATATTTTTTATATATAAAAAAGAGCATAAGTTAGTGATGAGGATGATGAGGATGGAGCAGCCCCAGAATGGAGAAGGTGCTGAAGTTGGATTGATAGTTCTGAGACATAAATGTGGAAAAAGATATCAGTTTGGTGGCGTTAAGAATATAGAGTTAAGCGGGTGGGGTTTAGCTCAGGCATGTTTTTCTCAGGCCAAAGAGCTGTGTGGTCCAAAATTGCAATCTTCTGCAAGCATTAGTCTGAAAATATTTGGACACATCACTTCAAGCCAAGTTCTCCAGCAGAGGATGCTCCTGCACCAGAAAAATACTTTCTGGGCCAAAGGAGCAGAAACTAGGCCGGAAACACCTTCTAATAATACCCAGGAAAATCCAGTTTTGTCTCAGGCCAGTTCATGTTTCATAAACAAGGAGAGGCTTGTTTAAGAGGAAAAAAAGCAATCTTGATTTCTGTGGCCTCTGGTACCATTGTGTATTGTTAAAAAGATGGAATGCTATTAAGACAGCAGTTTCGATTGAATCTCTGAATGTTTTCCTTGGGGACTAATAATAATGAACACATTTTATTTAGTAAAACAAAATGCTGGCTTTCCACAGGGCTGTGACTGATTCATTATTTATTTCAGATATGTGTATTGCAACTGCGGTCTCTCTTCTCATGATTCTCATTTGTGCGATGGCCACCTACGGTGCATATAAGGTGAGGCATAATGTAGGGCGTTGTATTCTGTCTTAATTAACTTACTTTGAAACCGGTCCATAAGTCGTGAGATGTTGGGCAGCAGACCACAAAGCGGGGGGGTGGGGGGGGTGGGAAGCACAAAGAAAGCTAGACACTCATAAAGAAGGATTATCTACAGTCAGTTAGGCCCAAAACATGATGGAATAAAGATGTACTTTGCATAAGGAGGAAAGATACTACACATTGTCAAGGAGATGCATACACCAGAGCATGAGGCTGCATTTAGAAATACTGTATATAAAGAAGTTAGCGTAGATCGGGGTGTCAAATTCAATTTAATTGAAGGCCGCACCAGGGTTGTGTTTGACCTTGGGGTGTGTGTATTTGGCCAGAATGGGCATGGCCAGTTCAGGAGGCACCTGTGGTGGCCAAGTGCTAAGGCAGGACTTCTCTCAGACCCTCCCTCCCTCTCATTATAATCTTCCTTCCTTCCTTCCTTCCTTCCTTCCTTCCTTCCTTCCTTCCTTCCTCTTTCCTTATTTTTCCTTCCTTGCTGTCTTCCCATTTTTCCTTCTTTTTTCTTTGTCTTTCTCCTTTCCGGTCCCTTCTTGCATGCTCAAATGCAAAATTTCTCCTTTTGTTTTGCTTTTAGCTTGTTTTGCTAGCCCTGTGCCAGTGAAAATGGAATCCGCGTGTGGCCCTTCCAAGTTCCATTTTCACGGGCAGAGACACCAAAGGCCGGTCCTTTGCTGTTTCCAAGGCACCCTGTGGGACAGTTTCAGCCTGCAGTCCTTCAGTTTGACATCCCTGGCCAAAATTAATTATAGAGGAGGATGGATTCCATAATCTAATGCCCTCCAGTTATGTTTGATTATCACTTCTGTGGCCACGATAGGTGGAAATTCTAAAAATTATAACCCAATATAAAGAGCGCCTAGTTGAGACAGGCTTCCTAGAATAACAACTGTAAGCATTGTGAACTTTTCTTAGGACCAGTAAATTGCTTTGAAAAACTTTTCAGGAAAATATCCCAAAGGTGCTTTTCAAAACCAACTGGACTTTCTTGTTTTTTCCTTGAAGATGTTTTGCTTCTCATCCAAGAAGCTCCTTCAGTTCTGACTGAATGGTAGTGAATGGAATGATTTATATTCCTTGCAGTCATCTGGTCATTACCATTCTCTCTGAGAACCGTTGAGGCCACTTAGAGGTTTATCTATGCCTTCAGGGTGACTTGAATAGTGCAAATGGTTGTGGAACCTTCTTGCAACTGTTGAAAGGACTGTGCTGTAAATAGGAGATAGATCGTTTTGTATCCCTCCCTCTCTATTAAGAGAGGGCTGTTCAATTTTAACGTAGGTGGCCTCTTTGACTCCTCTTCCACACCAGCAGTGTCTATCCAGAATGTGGACTTTGTTGTCTTCAAAACAGTGGCCTTTGTCTTTCAAATGTAGATGGACTGCTGAATCTTGTCCTGATAGGTTTGTTCTCCTTGTCAGGGATGTCAAATTCAACTTCATTGAGGGCTGCATCAGGGTTGTGTTTGACCCCAGCGGGCCGGGTAGGGGAAGTGGGATGGGGTGGGCGTGGTCCGCTGCCAGCAAAAACGAAGCTCGGCGGGTTATGGACCCCATTTTGAGCTGGAACAGCCTCCTGCAGCCCTCTGCCAGAGAAAACGGAGCTTGGGGGTAATGTCTTCAAGGGAAAAAAAAAACAAGAAAGTCCAGTTACTTTTTGAAAATGATTAGGAATGATTGAGAATCTCCATAAACTTTTCAGGAAAACTTGATTTTAAGGATAATCATTTATATATCAACTAGTGAATACATATAAATTATTCTTAAGGTTAATCTGCTTTACTATAACACTTTACTTAACATTGTGCCCTTATAAATAGTAATATTTATACTCATAACTATGTTCTGTAAAAAATATTAATAAAAAGATGTTCATTTAATGTATTTGTTCTAAAGAGAAAGAATATATGAAGTAGTTCAAGATTAATTTATATTTTATGACTAACTTAAACCTAATAAAATATAGATGTTGGTTTGGATGAAATGTGCTGGTCCTTGAATGAAAAGCCTTTTTTTTATTCCTGCCCATTGATTTGACTGAAAGATCTCCAATATTTTATAATGTAATTCTTTTTATGGATGGCGCCCTTTGACCTGTTCAGAAAAATGATTAAAAATTGCATTAAAATTCTATAAGTAATTACAGTATTTTCTCCTCTCTTTATTTTTTTATGTCTAGCAACATGCGGCCTGGATCATCCCTTTTTTCTGTTACCAAATCTTTGATTTTGCACTCAACACTTTAGTTGCTATCAGCATACTGGTTTATCCAAACACAGTTCGGGATTATCTGCAGCAACTGGTAAAATACTTTCTTATTCAATAATCAAACTCTTTATGTTAATGATTGTTGTAGACTTCATTCACAGACAATGAGAATAAGATTCACCAGGGGTGGGATTCAAAATTTTTAACAACCAGTTCTGTGGGCGTGGCTTAGTTGGTGGGCATGGCTTGGTGGTCATGTGACTGGGTGGGCGTGGCCAACTCAATATCATCACATTGAGTCACACATCTCTTCTCCTGGCCTCTCATGACTGTGGGAATGCTGCAACAGTCGTAAGTGTGGAAAACGGTCATGTCACTTTTTTCAGTGCCATTGTAACTTTGAATGGTCACTCCACACAAGCAAAGTACCAGCAAAGAGGGGAAAAAAAACTCCAGAGATGTTCCTGAGACAGGAAGTCTAGTCCTGCCAAGAATGTAATAAGGGTTAACGGAGAGGCAGTTTCTGTAAGCAACACCAGAATGTTTCCTTCCCGCCTTCCTTACAGGATTAGGCCAGTAATTTCTTCTAACAACTGGTTCTCCGAACTGCTTAGAATATTAACAACCGGTTCTAGCGAATAGGTGCGAACTGTTAGAATCCCACCCCTGAGATTCACCTGGCCACACATCTCGGGCTAAACATAAGATCATAAGAATATCAGTAGCCCCATGCATTCCTGTTCTCTGTCAGATGTTTCTAGCGTTCTGTAGAACCTATAGTACTCTAAAAATTCTTATAGAGAGCAAAGGCAACATTTGTTTCTTCCTATAATTTGAGAGAAAACTTTTTTTTGGGGTGGTGGTGGCTGAAACTGGCACTTTGGTGGGGTGGGGGGGGCTTTCAGGATAACAGCAAATGCAGATCAGCATTAGAAGTGGCAAGAGTATCAAAAACATAGATATCTGTATCTCTAATCCCTCCTTTTGCTGTTATAGTAATTGCCAACCTATTTCGCATATGTGAAAATGTTTGGATCAGAATGTCAAGAATGCTAAATCAGATTCCACTGCTCCAGGAAATGATAGGAAGAACATTTTGCCAAAAGAAAATATGCACTGCCAAAATGCTACTTAATCTCATATGAAGGAATAATTTCCCCCGTTTATATTTAAGCCCCATCTTTTCCCTGGAATGGGAAATGTCCTAAATTATATTCTGCAAGGCGGGGAAGAGGGGGAAGCAACAGGATTAATGGGAAGGGGAGAATGCTCAAAAATACAATGTTGGACAACGTTGGAAAATGTGTCCCACTCAGAGGGGCACAGAATGTATTGCAGATGGTTTTAATATTGCAATGCTTTCATTTTTCAATTTCTCTTTGCTCCAAAAGTTACCCCAAAAGAGCAAGTTTTTTTTTAAGGGGGGACTAGCTCTAACTCTGTAGCAGCCTGAAAGAGTTCTAAAAGATAAAGGTTCCCCTCGCACATACGTACTAGTCATTTCCAGCTGTAGGGGGCAGTGCTCATCTCCGTTACAAAGCCAGTGCTGTCTGAAGGAATCTCCATGGTCATGTGACCGGCATGACTAAACACCGAAGGTGCACGGAACGCTGTTACCCCCCCCCCAAGTGGTCCCTATTTTTCTACTTGCATTTTTACATGCTTTCGAACTGCTAGGTTGGCAGAAGCTGGGACAAATAACAGGAGCTCACTCCGTTACATGGCGCTAGGGATTCGAATCACTGATCTGCTGACCTTTCTGATCGACAAGCTCAGTATCTTAGCCACTGAACCACCGTGTCCCTTTTTAGAGTTTAGTAGTATGCTAATCAGACTCCAGTCTTTTCCTTCTGTCAGAAGCAAGCGGGCAACCAATTCAATTTGTAGAGCAGAGTTGTGCCAATTGGGGGAGTGAGATCTGACAAACCCAGTGTGCAATTTGGAGGTCCTTTTAGACTTGTGGCTCCCGCTCTAAGAGCAAGTGGCAGTTGTGAATAGGAGGCCTTTTGCACAGCTTTCACGTCAATTGCACCCATTCTTAGATTGGAAGGCTCTGCTCACAATCATTCATACTCTAATCACCTCCTGATTGGACTACTATAATGTACCCTATGTGGGGAGTGCTGTGGGAAAGTATTTGAAAGCTTCACCCAGTGCAAAATGCAGTGATCAAAGAATCATAGGGCTGCTACGAAATGGAAGCACAAAACAATTTGTAAACCAACCGACACACTGTATGTATATATATATATGGAAGATGGCTTGATGTTTTTATATTTTGTTTGTCTATGTTTGTCTTAAAAACCAATAAAAAAAAAAAAAAGAATCATAGGGCTGGAAGGAACCTCTGAGTCTTCCAGTAGGAGGCCTTGGTCAAATGGTTATCCAGTTTATTTTTGCCCCCATAACTCCAGGAGGCAAACTATTCCAGAATAACAGAGTTGGAAGCAGGGGTGGGATTCTGCCGGTTCTATCCAGTTCTATAGAACCCCTTGTTAACTTTCTAAGCAGTTCGGAGAACAGGTAGTTAGAAGCAATCTCCTTTTCTTTTTTTCCCCACCCTATAACATTCTTGGCAGACAGCCTAGACTTAGTGTCTCCAGAGCTTCTGAAGTTTGGCTTTCTTAAAGGGGAAGGGTTGTTTTAAGATTTTTATACTGCTGTTGGGAGGAAATAACTTCCCTAGACAATCAGCACTTTGAAGAAATAATTGAATAATGAAGCAAAGCTTTTAGTGACAGGGAACCAAGATGAGTGACATTCAGCAAGGCTTCTTGGCTGCCTAGAAAGATTGACATTCAAACTTGAGTTTACATACCCTTTCTGAGTTTTGGTCTAAAACTGGTTTTTGGTGAAGGTTAATTCTGTGCTTGATGAAATTTAATCCTGTGTTTATTGATAGGATAATTTTCCCTATTCAGTTTCAACAAGCAAGAACTACTGTTGTGATTTAATTTGTATTGTGTTTGAATTTTTCCTGCCTCTTGGTTTCTTTTTCTATCTGGGAAGGGGGTCTTCCTCATTGCTTTAGTACTATCTGGCACTGTGCTTTTGGGGTATACTTCCAAGAGGCAGGATGCAAGCTTGGCACTGATTTTTTTTTACTGCCTTTCTGGGCGGCATGTGACCTTTCCTTAAATCTGGATGATTTCCTTAGGATATCTTGTGAGGTGAGTGAGACCAGCTGGTATTTTTAAGTGGTGCAAATGGATCTAAGGATTGCTTTTCCTGGGTGTGCTCTTTCTGGAGAGCTTAAATGACCTCTCTGCTAAAGGGTTTTGCTTTATGAGCAAGAAGTGGCTGCTTGATATTTATCACTGCATTTTAACTACTTTCATTCCTCAAGGTGCTCTGGCACCCGGCCTGATTTGTAACTCTGGTTTGCAGGTATTTTTAATCTAATGATTGGTATTTAGGGCAGCTTTTTGCAAGCAAAGAAGCTTTGTGTATTTTTGTACAGGTAATCCTTGACTTACAACAATTCATTTAGTGACCATTCAAAGTTACAATGGCACTGAAAAAAGTGACTTATGACCATTTTTCACACTTATGACAATTGCAGCATCCCTACTGTCAGGAGGATAGGCGAGGAGAAGTGCCCCTTGACATAAGGGATGTCAAGTTGGCCACGCCCACCCAGTCACATGACCACCAAGCCACACCCACCAACTAAGCCACGCCCACAGAACTGGTTGTGAAAAAAACTGAATCCCACCCCTGGTTGGAAGGGACCATGGATGTTTTCTAGTTCAACAGCCTGCTGAAACAGGAGATTCTATACTATTTCAGGCAAATGGTTGTCTAATCTCTTCTTTACAACTTCCAGTGATGACCTGTCCACTTCCTCAGCTCAACAGATTCAAACCGTTCCCAGATAACTAGACAAGACCACCACCCCGCACCCCTAGCCATCTCCCCTGTACCTGCAGCAAACTCTGTATCCCAGGGCAAGCAAATTTGAGTGACTTTTGTCCAACAGATGCTGAACATTGTTTGAATTGGGCAACACTTTGTATGAGAGGAGAGACCAAACTACCATCCTGCAAAAATAGGCATGTATTCCCAACAAAGTGAAGAGTGATGAAAAGATTAGTTTGGCACTCGAGTAGTTTCTCTTTAAATAGAGAAGTGAAAGCAAGCTCGTACAATGTTTATCTTCAATCTGTTATACTTCATCTGGTGGGATTAAACAGTTGGTGCACTTCAGTGAAATTCCAAATGAGGAAAATGTCTTGCTAGCATTTGGCAAAAGAGAAAGGCACGCAGAAATATTTGTGTGTAAATGAATCTGGCAGAAAACGTCAAATAATTTATTGCTGCAAACTTTGGAAATGAAAAAAAGCTCTCCTTTTCTCCCTCCAGTATTCTGTAATTTGAAATGCCAATTTAAAAGATCACTGTTGATTGCATTGTAAAGTTACAAAGACGGATACATTCAGTGAGGAGTTGCAGTTGCTTCTTTGAGCCGTGGTGGCGCAGTGGTTGGAAGGCAGTGCTGCAGGCTACTTCTGCTAACTACTGGATACTTCCAATTTGGCAATTCAATTCTCATCAGGCTCAAGGTTGACTCAGCCTCCCATCTTTCTGAGGTCGGTAAAATGAGGACCCAGATAGTTGGGGGCAATATGCTGACTATAAACCACTTAGAGAGGGCTGTAAAGCACTATGAAGTGGTATATAAGTCTAAGTGCTATTGCTATTGAGGAAGAGACCATTGTGTCCAGGTCTGACCATCACATGAAGATTCAGATGGGGTGGTTAATAGTTTCTAAGATGTCACACAGGTAGTTCTTTTGGTTATGTCTGTGAAGGAAACTGTCCATTATGGTCATAATAGCAATGATTGTAAAATGGTTTGTTCATGTGACCAACCCAATTCTATGACTTATTTCTGGCAGTTAAGCAAATGTGTCCATTGTATATGCCAACACCACAGTTGTTAAGTGCTGCAGTTTTGCCAATTTTTTTTTGGTTTTTCAGCAAAACCAAATGACTGGAGAACACTGAAAATGGCCATAAATGCAGCCATGTTGCTAAATACCTCTAAGTGCAGTCACATGACCACGGGGGTGGGGGATGGGTTCAACCATTGGAACCTCAGATCTTGGTCGTAAGCTCCCTTTTTGGGGTAGCTCATAACTTTAAATGTTACAGTTGTAAGTTTAGGACAACCTTGTAGACAAGAGCACCATCTTCATAATAGATAATCTTAGACACAGGATTCAGAAAAGGGTTTTAAAATTAAAACTTGGAATGAATATCAGGAAGAATAATAGCAGTTTGATAGTAAGGCCAATGACACAAAAAAGTGAAGGCATGTTCAAGAATGTGTCAGAAATGCTTTAACTTAGATTGCTTCTTGGGAAAAGTGGTAGGACTTAATGCCCTTAATAGCCTTTTCCAATTGTGTGATGAAGATGAAGATTATATATGAGTTTTACACTTTCATTGCATAACTTGTCGAAGGAATTGGAAATAGGATACAGGTTTCTCTCTGCTTCTTTGTTTTATTCTCAAAACAATCTTTGGGACAACTTAGGTTTTGAGAATGACAATCGCAACATGGTCTTAACTGGGTGGAGAGGTAAATTCCTGCCCAATATCCTAATTGCTGAATTCTAGCCACAGCTTAGTGAATAAATCACAGCTGCCTGGATTTACGCAACAGATTAAGTCAAAACCAAACAAATTACAATTTAGAGTAATTTATACAATGTGTGAATCCAATCTATGACTCATACTTAATTCAACACATGAAACAGAATTTTGTCGCATCCAGAAACTGCTGGAGTTTGATGTTTAGTTTTACTGGAAATTGGACGTTATGGATACAAGATGCCCAAAGTCCTACACAAGTATCCATTCCAAAAGCACCATCTTTTCTTGCCTTCTGTCCCATACAATTATGTAAATACTGCATGGTCCTTATAGGACTGTGGAGATTACTATTCCCAGTTTGTGTCAATATTTTTATTTGAGAAGTTTGAATGATGTTTTCAAATTAAGTTTATGGTTCTGAAAACTCATTTTCCTCCTTTGTATGCTGACTGTTAAATCTACTTTTCTCCTAATCTTTTCTCCTTGTTTTAACAAATTACAGGTAGACCTTGACTTATGGCCTGTTACTTAGTGACTGTTCAAAGTTACGACAGATCTACTGGGGGGATACTTGTGACCCAAATTTGAAGTTCTAATGGTCGCGCCCCCCAAGTCATATGACCACATTTCATGCAGTGGTGGGATTCCAAAAATTTTACTATCAGTTTTGTGGGCGTGGCTTGGTGGGCATGGCATGGCTTGGTGGGCATGGCAGGGGAAGGATACTGCAAAATCCCCATTCCTTCCCCACCCCACTAACCTGCTTTCCAGGTCCGTTCTCCTGTGCAGGGCAACAAAAGAAGATCAGCTGGGACTCGGGAGGCAGAGAATAGATGGGGGCGGGGCCAGTCAGAGGTGGTATTCTGAACTACTCAAAATTTCCGCTACCGGTTCTCTAGAACTGGTCAGAACCTGCTGAATGCCACCTCTGATTTCATGAGCTTGGTAACCAAGTTGCGTTTAAAACCATCTGCAGCATCCTGTGGATGCGTGATTGTGATTTTGCTGAAAACCAGCATTTACACCCAGTTGTCTGCAAAACTGGCCCATAGCAAGCCATGAGTTTGCTTAATGACCACGGCATTCATTTAATAATCTGAGTGGTTACTGCATTCATTTAACAAACCATTGCAAAAAAGGTCATAAAATATCACTGATAATTTTACTGGCCCATTTTACAACTATCATAACTTATTATGTTATAGTTGAGCCATATTATGGTTGTAACTTGACGACTACCTTATTAGGTTGGAGATTGGGGGTCCCTTGGAATATCATTTAATAAAATCCACTTCAAGGTCTGTGGAATTAATGAGTAATGAGAAACAACTTGAAAATAGTTTGGTGTAGTGGTTAAGGCATTAGGCTGGAAACTGACAGGCTATGAGTTCTAGTTTTGCCTTAGGCATGAAGCCTACTGGGTGACTTTGAGCCAGTTACTTTCTTCCTTGGAAGAAGGCCGTGGCAACCCACTTCCAAAAAACCTTGCCAAGAAAACTCCAGGGATTGGTCCAGGCAAACACCAGGAGTCAAAATTGACTTGTAGGCGCACATACATATCAAAAAAGCTGTGATGGAATGATTCTGAAGTTGTAAAATATCCCTCCATTTCACAGGATACAACCATGTTAAACGAAGTTTGTGTTGTAAAATTATAAAATAGAAAGCAGAAAGCTTGATAAGATTGCTAACAATTTCTTTCTAATTTTCAGCCTGCAAATTTCCCCTACAAGGAAGAGATTATGTCAATGAATTCGATCTGCTTAATTGTTATCCTTCTCCTTTGTTTAAGTATCACATTAGCTTTCAAGGTAAGCATAACATGTTTTTACCCACCCTAACAATATGAACTGGAAACAATATGAACTAGAAGAAGGCTTATTGTTTGTGTGTTTGTTTGTTAAAATTATCTGCTACCCAGTTTACTATCAAGTGAATCTGGGAGCCTTTAGGATGCCTAAATTTAGGTTGCCCGCCATATATTGAAGTGGACAAGAGAACAAGGGAAATACCACTTAAACCAGTCCTCTTTGTTGAGTATGGACTAAGCACAGGGACTCTGCTGCCAACGCGTGCCAGTCTGCCCACAGAATCTTCCATGGTGCCCTTTCATCTCCCTGTCTCATTTATTTTTCAATTATTAAAGAGTCTTCTAATTATGAAGGTAAAATTGGGAGTTGAGATGCTGCACAGTAAAATGCCAGCCTATGGCAGCCTTACAAAAGTCTAATAAGCAGAATTATAAAATGAAAATAATGGAAGAGAGCATAAAAATGCTTTGTTTGAAAACAAGGGTAGTAAGGAGTTTGTCAGGAGACTGATTAGCTATTTTGTGCCTCTACATTTTGTTCTAGAATCTGTCAGACGGTGGGCAGGGTACAACTGTAATTTGCAGATATTTGAAAACTTTTACCACTTTTCTCCAGTTCGTTTCTGTTTTCTGTCCTTGGTTCTCATGACAAAATTATTACTACAATAAATGTATAGCCCATTGTGATTTCTCTTTTCTTGGATGCAGGTTATTAAGAATGTAAACTTCTTGTGTATCTGCATATATTTCTCCTGATGCAGAAGGTTTAGGTTTCTTTTCAATATGCTGTTGGCTCATTTGGTATTTAGGGGCTATAAGGTTGATTCATTTTCCATCCTTCTGAGGTTGGTATAATGAGGACCCATATTGTAGGGAGTAATATGCGGACTTTGTAAACTGCTCAGAGGGTACTGTAAAGTACTGTGCCATGGTATCTAAGTCTAAATGCTATTGCTATAAATCTCAACTCTTCTTTTCATCAGAATCACTCTTGAAATCCCTTCCTACCATTTTTAGTTGTTTGTTCCAAATTTCATTTGCTTCAGGTCAATGCCTGGAATGCACTACCTGACTCTGTTGTTACATCCTCTAACCCCCACTCCTTTAACCTCAAACTATTCACTATTGACCTCACCCCATTCCTAAGAGGTCTGTAAGAGGCGTGCATAAGTGCACCATCGTGCCTACCGTCCCTGTCCTATTGTCCCCATTTATTCGTACCTATTTCCTATATTCTTACTTATGTTTATACTTATTATCGTGTAAGTGATTGACAAATCAAATAAATAAATAAATAAATAAATAAATAAATAAATAGTATTATTCAATTGTCTGGCATCAGCTGAGTTCTTGGTCATCAATACAGTATCTTGAAAAGTAATTTTGAATTAAGTTTTGACCGATACTTGCTTTTCAATGAAAATGAGATGGACTCCTATATATTTTGTGGTTCATGAAACAAGGAAAATCTTTACTTTCTGATATTAAAGATATTTTTTAAATTTTATTATCATTTAAGGCATTTATTGAAGCTTTGTGCTGTGTTAGAGGCCCTTTAAAGCTTTGTAACACTAATCGCTGGAACTTATTAATCTTTGGCGAGATGTGCAGGTTTCCTGTACATGGAGTTCTTTTATGTTTGGCCATCCTTACTTTTTTTTTTCCAGCATTTTTAAAAACATCCACCAAATTGCATTTGCTTAAACCAAAAATGAATGACTCTGTTCATCTAGTATATGCTAAGTGATACTATATTTATCATGTTTAGGAGATTACTGTAATACCACTATTAACATTTGTAAAGGCAGAATGTTAGAAAGATAGAAAACAGTTTCTGTTGTAGAAAAGGAAGAGAGCTATAAATAAATCCTCTAACATTTTAAACTGACCCCTGGGCTTTGTTAATAGAATCTTCAGTTATTTAGAATGGAATGTAAGAACAAGGAAAGCATATTGAGTTATGTTTTAAAAGTTCTAAGGGTTTGATATTGTCTTAATTTCTTACTCAAATAGTATTGTTACATGGGATTGTTCAGATTAGGTCTTCCAGGTGTCAACTGGAGAGCCAGTTAGGTATGCTCGCTAAAAGTACCAGGCTAGAAACGGGGAGATTATGAATTGTAACGCTGCCTTGGGCATGAAATCAGCTTGCGCCAGCCACCCTCTGTCAGCTCTAGGAAGGAAGCAATGGCAAACCACTTCTGAAATCTTGCCAAGAAAATTGCAGGGACTTATCCAAGCAATTGTCAGGAGACAAGATTGACTTAAAAGCATCCCCAAAAGGTTTCAGCTGTAAAAAAAAAGAAAAGGAAAAGAAAGGACAACTGCTAGATGGCAGCAAACAGTTAAATCAGTTTGCACATGTCTTTGCTTCTGTTTAGATCTTTTTTATGTTTTGAAATGGTAGATGAAGTTCAGCAAAATCAATGAGCTTTAGCAACTCTCAATTTCATATGCTGTCTGTTCTCAAAACAACAACAAAACCTGCTAAATATCCTTTTAATATAGGATATTTCAGACATTCCTACTTTTTCTATAGGATATTCTGGGCGTTTCACATGCAAGGCCTACTTGCAATGATAACACTTAGCAATAGCATTTAGACTTAAATGCTTTACAGCCCTCTCTAAGCAGTTTACAGAGATTGCCCCCAACAATCTAGGTCCTCATTTTACCCACCACGGAAGGATGGAAGGCTGAGTCCATCTTAAGCCTGGTGAATTTTGAATCGCCAAATTGCAGGCAGCTGACAGTCAGCAGAAGAGCTTTGAATATAGCACCCTGAAACCTCCAAAAATTATTATTGAATTATTTTTAAAGTGTCAGAAGAGGAGATCTTGGAAATTGTAATTGTACTAGCTAATTGTACTTTAGGTTAATCTGAGGTATTTTAAAACTCAAATTAAATTTACTTGTTCTGGTTTCATATACTATTTTGGGGTGCATATGGTTCCTGGAATATATTTAAAATCAAAAGTGGCTCTTAGTCCTGAAAATATTGTGTTCCTCTACTACAAAAAAGTCAGTATGGGACACTGGCTGATTTGAGAACAGCTCATTAAGGCTATTGGGTGAGTAAAAAGCAGAAGTGAGAACTATAGCAAGGATTTCATAATTCTATAAGAGGATTCCATTATTATATCAGCCGTCTTTAGAGGTAGAAACTCAAGAAATTAATCTGACCATCTCACTTCTCTATTCCTGGATAGGAAAAGTATGCACTATAAAATCAGTTCATGACAATGTGAAGATCTTTCAGCAGCCTGAAAGTCTTTTAAGGACAAATCTGCAGGAAGGAGGTGGACAGAAAAAATTTTCATTTCTGAATTTGAGTAAAGAATATTTCTGTGTGCAAATTTCCAAGGCACTTTTTTTTGCCAGCTTGCTGAATTTAATCATATTCTCAGACACATGTGCTAACAGATGGTTCTACCAGGTGTCAGTTGTGGGCAAACTGCTAGTGTTTTTTTTTTAAATAATAAACACTTGTGACCCTGACTTTCAAAGATAAAAAAAGAAAGATGTAGATTTTGAGTGATAGACTAAGCACATTTTTATAACTTTTTAAAGTGTTTGTATATTCCATTAGCTCTGGCTTATATCACCACATCTCATTAATCTAGCCTTGCAAGCAAATTTATGATGAGATTAATCCTGACAAGGAAATATTTGAAGCCTTGATACGCATGTAAAATATTAAAGATAATATCCAGATGAATTTTCAAAGAGAAGTTACTACAGTTTTTTTACTGTGAGCAAAGGCACTTGTCTACAATGATTAAACAGTTCTTTTGCTATTTTATCTCCCAACATTCGAGGCTTAGCCTATCCCTATTTTTAATTTGTCATTTCAAATATCTTTTTTTCATAAATGTATCTATTCTAAATAAATACAAAACTATTCCACTGAAAGGAGAGGAAGTTGGGATTCATCCACACTAACTAATGTTCTGCACAGTTAGCTTCTGGAAACAAGCCAGAAAGGAAAAACAGGGATCTCTTAAGCAACATATAATTCAGCTTTTCCAATTTGAGAACCTTCCCTGAGGTCTTCAGCCAGCCCAGTCATAGCTGAATGTACCAGAGTTTAGGAAAGCTGCACAGTGTTGAAGCAGTTCCGTTCACAGTTCAACACATCTTGTCTTCTCCTTTTTCTCCATCCTCTTTCCTTCCAGGCTTACTTGATCAGTTGTGTATGGAACTGTTACCGCTACATTAATAACAGAAACAACTCTGATGTCCTGGTCTACATTACCACTAACGACACAGCGGTAAGTTTGTCAGGGTTGACTGGAGCTGTGAGAGGTTCCTGGATTTAGGAACCTCATCCAACCTGTTTTGGATGGTACAAAATCCAAAGGGATGGGCATCTTCAATGAGGCAACTTTGACCAGCATAGCTGTTGCTTTCCTGTGTATTTATCAGGCAATGATGGGTCCTATTATGCTGAGAAGACAAATTGCCCAAGTCAGATATCACTTTTTCTATGCTCTGGTTTCACCAAGGAAAAATCAGCTAAATTCATTTTTGGAGAAACTGTCTGTGGTTTTGGATAATGTGCGTTTCAGGACATGACCAGCAAATGCTTTTATCTTCCTGTTGATCTTCCCAGAGATACCTGGTTGGCCATTAGTAGTAACAAAACACTGATTAAAAGATCTTCAAGTTTATGTCTGTAAGACTTGATTTTAACCATGGTTTGGTAAATAGTTCCAAATTAGTGTGGTTCCAATACTCTGCTTAACCATGAATCTTAGTTTATAAACCACAGTGGATCACGGTACATTAAATAAAAAACAAATGTATACTAAGGCTTTGATTGGTGTATGAATCCAGATCTAACAGGGTTCTTTCAGTGATCTTATATTTACAGTTGCATTGTTCAGGAATAAATATATATTCTCACCTGCCAAGATGTGCCCAAGCTTGGCCTTTTGTTGACCATCCTTGTGCTGCTTCTTCCCTTACAAGATTCTCTTTTCTGCATACTGTTATTTAGCATTTCCTAGTTAATTACTTGTTGCATGCCTTTTATAATTTTATTTTATTAAATATTAGAATTAGAACAGAACATCAAACTAAAATGTTACATCTTAAATTGTTCCAACTTTGATGCTGAGATAGATATTCTTGTAAATGGCTCTTTAAAAAATCTTATATTGGGCAGACTGAACCTTGCATTCTCTAGAAACATTGGCTCTTAGTTTGGGGATATTAGCTTATGGGAAGGGGTGGGATTCTACCAGTTTGGACCCGTTCCATAGAACCGGTTGTTATGATGTTGTTATGCGCAGTTTGGAGAACTGGCAAATTGCGTTCCTGGCTGGCCCCACCCCTCTCTGCCCACCCCTCCCCTCCCCACCCAGTTAGTCCTTATCGCACATGCCCGACATCGCTGACTGAATTCTCCCTGCCCAGTCACTCCTTAAGGTATTTCTTTCCCCCCCCAACAATCAGCTGTTCCAATGATCAGCTATGCTGGGATCTCCCTCGCTGTCTTACCGCTTTGCCCAGGAGGCTTCCCTGAAGCCTAGGAGGCTCTCTGTTTTTTTCCTTCCTGGGCCCCAGGAAAACTTCCTGGGAGCAAAAACACCCCCCCAGGAGACTTCCCTGAGGCCTAGGAGGCCCCAAAATAGGGGGGTTGCTGCAAAAAAAAAGGGAAAAAGCAAAAGCCACGCTCACGCAGTCACATGATCATGCCCACCTAGCCGCACCACAGAATCGTTGTTAAAAGATTTGAATCCCACCCCTGTTTATGGATCTGAACTAGGTCCTAGTTCCTGTAAGGGCCAGGAACACCAACAACCTGTTCACCTTCTTCTCCCAAAAGATTTAGTCCCTCAGCCTGGGAATTCTTGAACAAAAAGTGTATCATTAATGTGCATTAATGCAATTAAATCCTTTTGCTTTAATTCCCATAACTATCCACACCCTGATATGAGGCGATCCAGGAACATAAACTTTTCCCGTTAACGTTTGCTCTGAATTAGACCCAGAAAGGCCATTTCTTGGAGGTGTCTTTTAATGACTCCCAGATGATCCTGCCACAGTAGACCGTATATTTCATATCACTTCCCCTGATAAGTATATGCTTTTTGTCTAGAAAGAGCTCTTTTATTTTCTAAAAGTTAGAACTGTCACATATATGGGCAGCTGTATATTCTCTCACACAATAAATGTCTTCTGAGGAATGTTTTGGCAACACAAAGAATTTCAAATCTATAAATTATCTCTGGGCAGTCCATTTCCATTTGTAATTGCTCCAGAGTGGTTTCTAATGGCAATGCTCATAGACAAACATTTGGTTTGCTTCCTGCTCAGTTAAGCAGAGAGACAAACTGAGCTCCACTGTTTGACAGATGATATTTTATTAAGAAATAATTCCAGCTGCTTCTTAGTATGTGTGTTTCAGGCAGACTCTTGAAACTGTGTTCTTAGTTGTGTGAAATATACAATTATGGTTGTTTGCTAATTCATTTACTTTACTTGTATGGTGCCTATTCCCAGATTCTGTGGTGGCTCACAATGTCAACATATAAAACCCTCAAATATATATATATATATAAAAAGAGCCAAACAAAAGATAAAGAACACATTCAATTAGAACACACCATTCTGCTGCTTTCAGGTACAATCCAGACTATATTCTATGAGCCGCGGTGGCACAGTGGTTAGAATGCAATACTGCAGGCTATTTCTGCTGACTGCTGACTGCCTGCAATTCGGCAGTTCAGATTTCACCAGGCTCAAGGTTGACTCAGCCTTCCATCCTTCTGAGGTCAATAAAATGAGGGCCCAGATTGTTGGGGGCAATAGGGTGACTCTGTAAACCACTTAGGGCTGTAAAGTACTGTAAAGCGGTATATAAGTCTAAGTGCTATAGCTATTGTGGTAGGGACCATTGTGTTCAGGTCTGGCCATCACATGAAGATTCAGATAGTTTGAGTGCATTGTAAAGTTACAAAACAGATACATTCAGTGAAGAGCTGCAGTTGCTTCTTTGAGCCATCAATCCAGAGTATATTCTATGAGCCACGGTGGCGCAGTGGTTGGAATGCAGTGCTGCAGGCTACTTCTGCTGACTGCCAGCTGTCTGCAGTTTGGCAGTTCAAATCTCACCAGGCTCAAGGTTGACTCAGCCTTACATCCTTCCAAATCAGTAAAATGAGGACCCAGATTGTTGGGGGCAATATGCTGACTCTGCAAACACTTTACACTTAGGGCTGTAAAGCCTTGTAAAGCGGTATATAAATCTAATTGCTGTTGCTACTGCATAGGACAGAACAGATAGGTCTTCACAATTTTGCTGAAGCCCAAGATGGACAAACTGACCAAATCTCTGCCAACAGGATGCAGCTGATGAAAAAGGTGGTTTTAGATAGCTGTTCAAAAGGAGTGGAGAGAGGAAAGATCTCTAAGGCATGCCACAGTGTAGAAGTCTCTGGGCAGATCTTTTTTCACTACCAAATGCCCACCACTCCAATTGCTCAGAAGTGGCCCAGGAAGCTAACACAGTTGAAGGTTTTAAAAGCTGTTGAGAGATCAAGGAGGAATAGGAGGGTTGCATTCCTCCAAATCTTAATGGATTTTTGGAAGGCTAATAGAATTGGAACTAATTTCACTTCAGGGAGAATGATGTTCCAGGCAATAGGAATCACAGCAGAAAAGATTCATCCCCTGAGTTCCAATAATACCACTCTTAGTAAGACCACACCTAGAATACTGCATCCAGTTTTGGTCACCACACTATAAAAAATATATTGAGACTCTAGAAAGATTGCAGAGAAGAGCAACCAAGATGATTAGGGGCAGAAGTGGGATTCAACGGTGTAACAACCGGTTCGGTGAGCACACGCTAATCGTCAGAGCGAATTGGTTCCTCCCAGCTGATCTTCGGAGCTACCAGTTTGCCTGAACTGGGCCGAACCGGTAGAATCCGACCCCTGATTAGGAGACTGGAGGCTAAAGCATACAATGAACTGGGTTGTAGGAACTGGGCATGACTAGTCTAGTGAAGAGAAGGACCAGGGGAGACTTGATAGCAGTGTTCCAATATTTGAGGGGCTGCCACAGAGAGGAAACTGAAGGCCAAACAAGGAATGATGGATGGAAACTGAACAAGGAAAGGAAATAAGGAGAAATTTTCTGACAGTGAGAGCAATCAACCAATGGAACAACTTGCCTTCAGAAGTTATGGGAGCTCCACCACTGGAAGTTTTCAAGAAGAGACTGGACTTCCATCTGTCAGAAATGGTGTAGTGTCTTGCTTAGGTGTGGGGTTGGACTAAGATGACCAACAAGGTCCCTTCCAACTCTGTTAATATGTTAAATCTGTTCCATCAAAGGGAAGAGTGTGGCAGATGGGACCTGTAACATATTTCTCCTGCTGGACCTAATGGGATGGGTAGATGTAACCCAGGACAGGGGGTCCCTCAAATAACCTAGTCTCATGCCATATAGGGTTTTAAGGATCAAAACTAATATCCTGGATTGAATCTGGAAGCAAATACAGTTCAGAGGGCATGTGCTGTTCTAGGGGCACAGCAACTGCTCATGCCATCACATTTTGCACCAACTGAAGCTTCCAGTCTCTCTGCAAGGTCAGCCCCATGGAGAATGCATTACAATAGTCCATTCTATAGGTAACCAGGGCATGAGTAACTATGAGTAGAGCCTCATGATCCAGGAAAGGGTGCAACTGGCACTGAACACAAAGGTGTGCAAAAGTACTCCTATCCATGACTGTCATGTGCTTCTTGATCAGGTGTCATGAGTACAGAAGGACCACAAGATTGTATACCAGCTGCAATTTCATCCAGCACCAAAGATGGCAAAGTCCCAGGTCCAGAAGGTCCTAAAACCCAAAGCCATTCAATCTTGCCAGGGTTTAGTCAAAGCCTCTGTCCCCCATCCAGACCCACACAGTCTCCAGACACAGAGACGGGAAATGAACAGCATTGTTTAATTCATTGGAGGTGGAGATATATAATTGAATATCATCAGCATACTGATGATACACCGTGCTCTCTTTAATGTGCACATTTGCTATCTCAGACAGCATTATCATTAGCACTGGAAAGGCTGAAATTAACTTGGCAGTCAGTTTAATACTTTGCCTTTCCATGTTTGCATTGTGATAATGTTTTACTGAGAAATAATTCTGTTTCCTGCTGCTCCTAAGTGGTTGTTACAAATGTGCTGATATAAAAAGAATGTTTTTTGTTAACACAACAGTGATATAACAAAAGAAAAGGAGAAAGAAATCCACAACCAGTGAGTGGAGTTTTATTTGAGCCAAATTTATTGGTCAAAACATATGGACACTGTCTGTAGGGATTGCTGTTTGCTGTAATTCAATTTGAAATGGCTTGTTCTTGATCCATTTCCATTTTGGAATTGCATCACTGAGTCGTATAATGAATTATGCTGCAAATCAGTTTTCGGTTCCATGGCTCCAAAGTTGTACATGTATCAACTAAAACCACAATTGCTAATGACAATGCTGAAAATACCTCTTTGCCCCATTTCTTTCAAAATTGACTGAAAGTGTGAGCTCTGTTATAGAAACTTTAAAAAAAAAATAATTGGTAAACAATAGTTGAAAATATTCTGAAGTGGGAAGAGTTGTAGGAAAATGGTCTGTGGGTATACCGACTAAAATGGCTTTTTTTGGTTCTTTTTTAAAAACTCATTATGGATCTATTATTTTTCCTGCTAAAAGAAATCTTCTCCTTGTAAAAACTGGTTTTTTTTTAAACCCAGTACATGCAGTCCTTACAACCACAATTGAGAACAGAATTTCTATTGCTAAACAAGACAGATATTAAGTGCCTCATTCTGCAACCTTGTTGTTGGCCACAGTTGTTAAATTAATCACTGCAGTTGCTAAACCAAACAACCGCTATCTTCACTGATTTTGCTTGTCAGAAGCCATTTGGGAAGGTTGCAAATGGTGATCACATGTCCCAGGAGGCTGCAACCATGATAAATACATGCCAGTTGCCGTGCACTCGAATTCTGAGCACATGACCATAGGGATGCTGCAGTGGTCATAAGTGTGAGGACTGGTTGTAAGTTGCTTTATTCAGTGTCTATGGAGATTCTCAGTCATCCAGGTCACGGCTGTACCAAAGGTGCTTTTTCAGTTCTTTCTAGTTTTTCTTTGAAAACCTTCAGAAACCCTATTCAAGAAAAAGAACCTTTGGGCCACTTTTTCAGCGCCGTTGTAACTTTGAATGGTTGTAGGACAAAGACTATGGCTGGCTAGGAATTCTGGGAGTTGAAATTCACAAGTCTTCAAGTTGCAAGGTTGGACATCCCTGTTTTAATCCTACATTTTTCAAAACCATCTTTCTTTCTTTTCCCCAGGTGCTGTTGCCATCGTATGATAACTCTGCAAATGACCCAGGGAAAGATGCCCCTCCTCCTCCTTATGTAGCTGCATAAGTGTGATATTTACTTAAAAAACCAACTATACTGTTTTTCAGATCATCCAAACACTATATCCTTTCACTTTCAAGATGGACATGCAAGATCCTAGATTTATTTATAGATTATTTTCAAAATGTGTTTTGTGTTTTCTTGTTTTGCCTAAAACATTACTGAACTGGCTTAGTTTAACAAAGTATGTTATAATCGCATTGTAGGATTTTTTTTTCTTCATGTAATAATTATTTTTATTCTTGCTGTATCTTATGTGAAAGTTTTGCTGGTTTAAAGGGCAGAATTTTCAAATCAGTTTTAAGAATTGTGTCTCAATTTATGACTCTCAACTGGATTTAGATTTACCCTTACATGGATCCAGATGCAGGCAAACTATAGATCACATGACCTTCCCCCTAACATCACACTGTTGCTATTGGCTGGAAAAATAGCCAAATTTCAAAGGAATTTCAGACTGTAGAATACATAAGGATAAGATAAATAGGGATTTATGAGCCATTGTGGCGTAGTGGTTAGAATGCAGTACTGCAGGCTACTTCTACTGACTGCCGGTTGTCTGCAATTTTGCAGTTCAAATTGCACCAGGCTCAAGGTTGACTCAGCCTTCCATCCTTCTGAGGTGGGTAAAATGAGGACCCAGATTGTTGGGGGAAACATACTGGCTGTAAAGACTGTATAGCAGTCTAAGTGCTATTGCTATTTTCCTTTTCTTACTCTAACCATCCCACCCCCCCCACACACACACAAAAAGTGGAACATTACAGTCATCCTTGTCCAGAATGTTTCATCAGCCTGATGTTTCCATAAAAATTGAACCACAGTTACCGTTATCCCTAGCTGGACTAGCCAACCATTGTACGGGCTGAAAGATATGAAAATGGGGCAATTTAAAACAATGGGAGAGTATCAGGCTGGGGACTACAGATCAAGACTTTTAATCTACTTCCAAATTAAACCACTCCCCAATACAGTATAATGCTTTAGATTTCTTAATCATGAGGTCAGATTGTTAATTTTCCTGCTATCCCAATTCTGGCAACAGTGTTTTGTCTACTTAAGCAATTGCTACTTAAGTAATCCCACTCGGCAATTATGAATGCTGGGAATAAACCATTTTTGAATGTCATTGATTTCATGGATTTTTAAACAGTTTTTTAACACACACACCACAATTGACTCAAGGGTAATGCTTGTATCTACTGCGACTCTCTCACTTTGTGCAAATAAAAGCTAATTGAACAGTCAACATATCTGTGGTATTTGGGGAAATTCAATATCCCATTTTGAGGTTCCTGTATTAATGTTGGTCACATCATTCTGTGTGTGTTCTGTTGTATGCTTTCATATGGAAATCTAACACTCCTATTTGGATAACTCCAGTTTCTATGATATCTGGGTATGGCAAATTATTATTATGATTATTATGATTATTATGATTATTGATGTTTTCAATATGTATTACAGTCATTGTTATATAACCTTACAACAACCCAAGAAGATAGGCCATTGTTTCCATGTCTAGTTTATAATTCTTACAAATAAGCTGGCTACAGTTGCCTTCATGACTGAGTCAGCATACAAATTGGCTTAAAAAATAAGTAAATAACATTTGTGGTTCTTATCTGGGACCCATTAAATCAGTTAGACATAAGCAATACTGCCTTGAATCCTACTGATTTTAAGCCTATGTTTCTTAAACATACCAGTATAGGTTTACTTGAGTTAAGCTGGCGAATAATCACAAACCTTCAGGTGAAACTTGAAAAATTAGAATATCGTGCAAAAGTTCATTTGTTTCAGTAATGCAACTTAAAAGGTGAACCTAATAGATGAGATAGACTCATTACATGCAAAGCAAGATAGTTCAAGCCATGATGTGTCATAATTGAGGTGATTATGGCTTACAGCTCATGAAAACCCCAAATCCACAATCTCAGAAAATTAGAATATTGTGAAAAGGTTCAATATTCTAGGCTCAAAGTGTCCCACTCTAATCAGCTAATTAAGCCATAACACCTGCAAAGGGTTCCTGAGCCTTTAAATGGTCTCTCAGTCTGGTTCAGTAGCGATCACAATCATGGGAAAGACTGCTGACCTGACAGTTGTGCAGAAAACCATCATTGACACCCTCCATAAAGAGGGAAAACCTCATAAGGTAATTGCAAAAGAAGTTGGATATTCCCAAAGTGCTGTATCAAAGCACATTAATAGAAAGTTATGTGGAAGCGAAAAGTGGAAGAGAAAGGTGCACAAGCAGCAGGGATGACCGCAGCCTGGAGAGGATTGTCAGGAAAATTCAAAAGTGTTAAGGACTTTCACAAGGTGTGGACTGAGGCTGGAGTCAGTGCATCAAGAGCCACCACACACAGACAGATCCTGGACATGGGCTTCAAATGTCGTCTTCCTCTTGTCAAGCCGCTCCTGAACAACAAACAACATCAGAAGCATCTTACCTGGGCTAAAGAAAAACAAAACTGGTCTGTTGCTCAGTGGTCCAAAGTCCTCTTTTCTGATGAGAGCAACTTTTGCATCTCATTTGGAAACCAAGGACCCAGAGTCTGGAGGAAGAATGGAGAGGCACACACTGCAAGATGCTTGAAGTCCAGTGTGAAGTTTCCACAGTCTGTGTTGATTTGGGGAGCCATGTCATCTGCTGGTGTTGGTCCACTGTGCTTCATTAAGTCCAGGGTCAACACAGCCGTCTACCAGGAGATTTTGGAGCACTTCATGCTTCCTTCCGCAGACAAGCTTTATGGGGATGCTGACTTCATTTTCCAGCAGGACTTGGCACCTGCCCACACTGCCAAAAACACCAAAACCTGGTTCAATGACCATGGGATTACTGTGCTTGATTGGCCAGCAAACTCGCCTGACCTGAACCCCATAGAGAATCTATAGGGCATTGCCAAGAGAAAGATGAGAGACGTGAGACCAAACAATGCAGAAGAGCTGAAGGCCACTATGGAAACATCCTGGTCTTCCATAACACCTCAGCAGTGCCACAGACTGATAGCTTCCATGCTACACCACATTGAGGCAGTAATTGCTGCAAAAGGGGCCCATACCAAGTACTGAGTACATATGCATGCTTATACTTTTCAGAGGTCTGATATTGTTCTATGTACAATCCTTGTTTTATTGATTGCATGTAATATTCTAATTTTCTGAGATTGTGGATTTGGGGTTTATGAGCTGTAAGCCATAATCATTACAATTATGACAAATCACGGCTCGAACTATCTTGCTTTGCATGTAATGAGTCTATCTCATATATTAGTTTCACCTTTTAAGTTGCATTACTGAAATAAATGAACTTTTGCATGATATTCTAATTTTTCGAGTTTCACCTGTATAAATCAATAAAATTGTTCATTTTTTATTCCTTTAAAAATGGAATCCCTCTCACTTTTTAAATGAATCATGCATTACATGAAGCCATAGCTTGCTTAAATGAACCACAGCTGGCTGGGTTTGTGCAGATGACAACATTAAGAAAGTTATATGTGGGTTACCGCAATGCATAAACTAAAAAAAAAAAGATTATGAAGAAACTAGGGACATTTGTTCCACACTTCTCTATTTGGCCAATGTTTAAAGCAGATTACATATGAGTCTCAGCCCAGCTGTTGAAGATTATTAGCCTATTGACAGAACACATGTCTTAAGTGCAATGAATCAAGGGTTCAGTCCTGGTTACATTCACATAAACTCCCATTTCCCCCCTAAAGTTTTTGAAATGTTTGTAGAACTGAAAAACAAGATTGAGGGTAATGAAAGTAGTGAAGTGGAACTGGAATTGGAAACAAATCAGTTTTTTCCTCCTGGAATGATGTAAAGCAAGGGTGTCAAACTTGCAATGACACATTGTCATCACGGGACTTATCACAACTTTTGCCCCTTTGCTAAACTGAGGATGGGCATGATCAGCACACGATGCATCTGGTCCACAGGCCACAAGTTTGACAGCCCTGATATAAAGGGAAAAACAGATAGACACCCCTACCTCTAGTGCAGTTCTTACTATGTACTGATTTGCTGCTTAAGCAATGAAGTGAGTCCTCCTTGCTAAATCAATGCACTGACAAGGAATTCCCACATAAGTTTTTATCTTGTTATGCAAGTTGCTTTTACATTGGATTAGTCCTTACAGTCAATCTGAATTTCTATTAGTTTCAGTTTACCTGGTCTGGATTATTATGCTAAGGGTTCATGTTGGTTTACTGTTTTTAATTTGTGAAACTTTTATTCATCTGTATGAAAAACAGCTATACATACTTTTCATTCAAAACTTGTGGTAAAACGATCTCTAATAAAAGGATTATTTCCTCATAACTTTGTATGACTTACAACATTTTTTTCAATAAATGCCATTATTGGTTCAACTATCAGATCAGAAATATTTGAGTTTAAGATCTACTCAACTTTCAGCCAATGAGTGAGTGATCTGAGAGAGGGTGATTTGCAGCCAATCTCAGAGTGGGATTGTTAATGTAAATGAGATAAAATTGTCCCATACATTAAATTGGCTCCTAGATGGCATACAAATGTAAAGTCAATTCTTATGTTTACCAGTATGTAGATTATGCCCCTTTACCAATTTTTTATTTCTTTCATTATTTCTTTCCCTTTTCCATTTCCATTGCAATGAATATTGATTTCAGGAATGGCAACCAAGTTGTTCAGAGGAGGGAGGTGTGAAAAAAGTTAAGATGGCGGCCTGTATTGAATACTACCTTGAGTGTGTGTGGGGGTCATTTCCCCCCAAACTAGTCACAATTTAGGCTGCTCCTGAAAGCAAAGCTAGGGAACAAATTAGTTTGGTTAAAAGCCAACTGTTGTTGTTTTTTTTCTCAGACTGAGAGAGGAAAGAATTTGCAGGGAGAGCATTAGCTATAGCCAATGGTCACGTATGGTACGTTCACAGACAGTTAAGAATCTTTAAAAACCTCGCAGTAATTGAAACCTGCAATTATAGTGCAATAGATTGGGGAAAAGAAAAACCTTTCTAAACTCTGTTCTGTATTTAATAATACTATGTAGGAAAGTATGCTTCATGATTATGTTTTAAACACAATAATGCACTGTATGCATTGCATTTTTTGAAAGCTACTATTTTGTAATTATCTTGCATAGTTTGCAGCACAGTCATAAATGTGGATCTAATACTGTTAAGATATTGTCAGTTCGGATGTTTACCATATTACCCACAGAGCAATATATGATAAATCCTCCTTTTAAAAATAAAGTATCTAATTTGGCCTGCACAGATATATTGAGAACAGTGTAAAACCTATCGCTGTTGCCACATACTAGAATTTGATATTCCAGTTCAACTTAAGAAGGCATATTATCTAGTTCTCTCATAATATTCTTTTGATGTTCTATAACCTAGTATTGTAACAAATTAACAGCTTTCTTTTTAACCCTTGTACTAAACAAGTTCATATCTACTTTACTGTGGATTATTCTTGGCATTATTTCCAACCCAGCCTTCTCATTTCAACTATTGTTTTCCTTGGATGCGTATTTGTATATTTGGCAGGCTATTAAAAGTTGGGAAGTCTTACTCTGAATTACTTCATTGTATAATTCTATCCTTCCTTTAAATAGCTGTGGGTTG